AAGATCGGATCCTAGTATTTTTCGGCGGGTAGAGGGTTGAATGAAACGGGACGCAATAGAAATGACAGCTTAGATGACAGAAGAATATGTCACCTAATTTAGCCATATTCTTGCTACGTTCATTTCAATAGTTTTTCCTGTCTAGACTCTTAAACTCGTCCAGCAAGCTTATGGATTTGAATTATGGGTGTTTTAAAAAAAAGATAACTTGGCCAAAAAAAGTGTAGGCCCGGGCCTACAGTGCTACATACTGGCTACGCCACTGCATGTATTTTAGATCGCAATAGCCGTACGTGTATTTTACTTGTGAATTGTTCATGATTTTTGATTGTGAATGCAGTCTTAAAAGATTGCGTGCTGTAATTAATTTGCTAAATTTGGTTAATTAGTATTCGAGTTTCTTCGTCATGTATTTCGCTCAGATGACAAATTTCATCGAGAGCGTAGAGAGACATCTCCCTTATGTAATGGATATGAGTTTGATTGAATTTGATGAGCAGTTGTGTAGCAATGCCCTTTACAGTGTTACCCGTCCGTAACCCTAACAGTAGGCTGGCCTATCCTAAATTTTGTTAATTAATATTCGAGTTTCTTCATCATATATTTCGTTCAGATTAATGACAGATTTAGAGGTTCTGCTGCGATGGCTGTGCGTGCGTGCGTGCGTGCGTGTGTGAATGCGTGAGTATACCTGCTTACGTGCTTGTGTGCATGCTTGAGTATACCTGTTTACGTGCGTGCGTGCATGCGTGAGTATACCTGCTTACGTGCGTGCGCGCATCCGTACGTGCGTGAGTATACCTGCTTACGTGCGTGTGTGCGTGCGTGAGTATACCTGCTTACGTGCGTGCGTGCATGCATGCGTGAGTATACCTGCTTACGTGCGCGCGTGCGTGCAAGCGTGCATGTGTGCGTGCATGCGTGAGTATACCTGCTTACGTGCGTGTGTGAGTATACCTGCTTACGTGCGCGCGTGCATGCATGCATGCGTGCGTGTGTGCATGTGTGAGTATCTGCTTACATACGTGTGTGAGTATACCTGCTTACATACGTGTGTGAGTATACCTGCTTACGTGCGTGTGTGAGTATACCTGCTTACATGCGTGTGTGAGTATACCTGCTTACGTGCGTGCATGCGTGAGTATACCTGCTTACGTGCGTGCGTGCATGCGTGAGTATACCTGCTTACGTGCGTGTGTGCATGCTTGAGTATACCTGCTTACGTGCGTGTGTGAGTATACCTGCTTACGTGCGTGCATGCGTGCGTATACCTGCTTACGTGCGTGAGTGAGTATACCTGTGTGGTGGTGGCACCAGTCACCACGGTTCCCAGCTAGGTAATTGTGAGGTAGCTCACTGGGAACCACAGGCAGGGTATGGGTAAATGTTTTGTATTTGCGATTGTATAATTATTTGTCATGTCTGGTGTCTATTAGTGCGTTTTCGTGCTGTTTTGCCTGCTCACCAATTGAAAGATGTGGATAGTCGAGTCCCTACATGGGTGTCACTTTCCCCCGGGCGTAGATGGAGGGTGCCGCTACGTGGCAGCACTAGTCACTTCGTACACTTATTTCCTTATATTATCATATTATTATACCCTTATTTCGCTAACCCTTAATCCGAACCCTAACCCTAATCTTAACACTAGTGCTGCCACGTAGCGGCACCCTCCATCTACGCCCGAAGGAAAGTGATTCCCGTCCCTACATGGGGGCAGCCATGTTGGGTGGGTTAGCAACCCCCTCTAGCGGCGGAGAGTGGCTCGGGAAAAATGAACAGCTGACACTGTGTGTGAGACTGGAGTGACAGCTGAGTTCGTCTCGGGAGTTGAGAGAGGTAACACTCGAGTTCGTCTCGGGAGTCGAGTGAGGTAGGCCTCGCAGCATGTATAGCTAGTTCACTCTGTATGAGCATGGAGTGGAGAGGCCGGTTGAGTTGTGTGTGGAGCCTGGAGAGTATGCCTGTATGGTGACAGCTAGCGTACGTGTACTGGTGGTAAAGTACGTACGGTCACCGGTGTTCGACGTGGCTTGTGGGTGAGACCCCACAGAGAGTCAGCCATAGTTAAGAGCTTCGGTTGGTGAATAGGCACCGTTGCATTGTCCTGTTGTTGTGGGGTGAGTAAATAATACAGTGAGTAGAGTATTAAATGGACTCCTAAAATAGTAGAGAGAGGAATGCCAACTCTACACGTGTAGGATAGAAACTGGCCTATGCTGTGAGCGGCCGTTCGGTAGAGAGCCTGCCGGTTATTTAGCCCTTTGTCTGGCTACGCTTATATCTGTATAGCCTTTGTTTATACACCGGGTTGACATTTATTATAAGACGTAACGTAAGGCCAGCAGAGCAGGGTGGGGTGCCCCATTGTCATGTTTGTGGTGTCGTCCCTCGTCCGGCATTGTTGACTAACCACGCTATCGCACCGGAGCCGGAACGAACGCTGGGTTGGGTACTACGGAGTGAGCGCAGTAGCACTGAGGCGCTCTGGTGGCTAGCGGAGTCCGGGTGGCGACGATACGGCCATTTCAACGCATCCGGGACATACTAGGTGAGTGTTCTTACCTAAGGTTACAGCTAGTCACTATGTGTCGACTGGTGGCGCCATCGGTTGGCGCGGAAGACCACAAAACGCTACACCTGCTTACGTGCGTGTATGTGTGCGCGTGCGTACCTGCTTACGTGCGTGTGTGAGTATACCTGCTTACGTGCGTGGGTGCGTGCGTGCGTGCGTGCGTGCGTGAGTATACCTGCTTACGTGCGTGCGTGTGAGTACGAGCGTGCGAGCGTGTTGTATGTTTGCTCAATACTATTCAGAAACTAGAGGCACTACGGAGTGCATACCTCCGCCAAGGACATACGCCATACGCCATACGCCATACGACTCACGAACACAGGAATAAGCCACGACAACAGAACTATTTATTTATTTATCATCCATACCCGTGACTGAGAAATTGTATTTGGTTTTATTTCATGCGTCTTCGACATGTTGACTTGCGTAGTATACACACGTCTGATGTATAATCAGGTGTGATGATAGTATAACATATTAGTAGTAGTATAACATAATAGCAATACTAAAGTAACTATAGTACTAAAGTAACACTATAGTAGAACATTATCTATATTATGACACTACTGAGAATATTAATGGACCTACCAATCCAGCCTTACACTTATCTATGAGTCACTTAGCTAGGCAGAGTGCACTGAGGGAGTGCATAATATTATGTGTTACAAGCTGGCTCGCTGCGCTGGCACTGGAATATCGATCGCGCGAACGAACAAAACTAGACTGGTACCCGGTCCCACCTCTCGGCTTAGTTACTCGATGGGGGAATCGAGGTGGGAGCGAGTACCAGTCTAACGCAAACGGACAGTCTAACGCGAACACACGAGAGCGAAAACATAACCTCCTCCAACTCCGTTGGGCGGAGGTAAATACACCAACTCAATTAATAATTATTACCAATTATATGTATTTATACCACACACACACACACACACACTCACGCACGCACGCACGCACGCACGCACGCACACACACACACACACACACACCACAACACACACACACACACACTCACACAGATTTTTACACTTCCCTTTTTAGACTAAGCTTACACAGTACGAACTTACAAGCCATACTCTAGTCGGCATTCCTTTGTCAACTATGCAATACATATGGGGCGCTGGCCTTCCCTAAAGCACATCAAGTTAAAAACAAAACTGGCAGCTATATCTATACATCTATAGCGCACTAAGCACTTCTGAGAACTGATCAGCAATGGAAAATGAAAGAAAATGGGGGGGGGGGTTACAACAACATATGAGAATAGCAGCGATCGCGAGAGCAAATGTATCCCATATTCACGTGGCAAGCAGTAGCTATGTCATTGGCAGTGTGTTATCACGTGTCTATGGCTTTCCTCCCATGTGAGTTAACTTGTGTGTCTTGAGATTTGCTGGTTGATTGCACCTGTAGTCACACATATCACATGCATAGCGTTTCTCTCCTGTATGAATGCGTTTGTGTTGCTTGAGGCAAGACATTTCAGAGCAGCTATAATCACACGTATCACATGCATAGGGTTTCTCTCCTGTATGGATGCGTTTGTGTCGCTTGAGTTTAGCCACTTCAGAGCATCTGTAGTCACACGTATCACACGCACAGGACTTCTCTCCTGTGTGAATGCCCTTATGTTGCTTAAGATATTTGGATGACGTACATTTGTACTCGCATTTGTCACATGCATAGGGCTTTTCACCTGAGTGTGTTCGAAAGTGCACCTTCAGACTACTCAAGCGAGAATATGAATATGAACAAATATCACACACGTAGGGTTTCTCTCCTGTGTGAGTTCGCTTGTGTGTCTTAAGATTGGATAGTTCAGTGCACCTGTAGTCACATGTGTCACATGCATAGAGCTTCTCTCCTGTGTGAGTTCGTATGTGTGTCTTAAGACTGGATAGGTGACGACACCTGTAGTCACATGTGTCACATGCATAGGGTTTCTCTCCTGTGTGAATGCGCTTGTGTTCCTTGAGGCAATTCATATTAGAGCATCTATAATCACACGTATCACACGCATAGGGTTTCTCTCCTGTGTGAGTTCGTATGTGTGACTTAAGATGGAATAGTTGAGTGCACCTGTAGTCACATGTGTCACACGCATACGGTTTCTCTCCTGTATGACTGCGCTTGTGTCTCTTGAGATTATTGGATGACATACATTTGTAGTCACATGTGTCACACGCAAAGGATTTCTCTCCCGTGTGAGTTCGCACGTGTGCCTTAAGGCTGGTTAGTTGACGGCACCTGTAACTGCATATGTCACACATGTAGGGTTTCTCTCCATGTGTGCGCATGTGACTCTTGAGATTAGCAGAGGTAGTGCTGGCATGTGAGCAAACATAACACACATAGGGTTTCTCTCCTGTGTGAATGAGCATGTGGGTCTGCAGATGCTTCTCTAGCGCGAATCTGTGTCCACACGTATCACACGCATGCGGCTTCTCTCCTCCTGCAGGCGGCACATCTAAGTGGGAAAACTCCATCACGCGGGTGGGAAGCTAAGTAGTTTCTTCCCCCGCGCAGGTTCTCCCGTCTGTCGTTCGACTTTCTGCGGGGAAAAAAGATCAACGTTAATCACCAACTTCCTTCAGCTTCAGACATTCTTACTGTGAACACGGTTGTCTATATCAATACGATGGAGATTTGCAATGATTTTGACCATCTCCTCCGAATTTTAGTTCATTAATCCACATGAGCATGCCAACATCAACTGCACACCTATGCAAGCCAATGTTTCCTACAAGTATTATGATGATAATCGACCTCAGTCGTTGGGCACCGTGACACCTATGTCCTATTGGAGCCACGCTGGCACTGATGGGGGTTTGGGGAAAAATATGGCCTGGAATTTTGTTTAGGAATATGCTATAAAACTAGAAATGGCAGTTCAAGGTAGGTAAAGTGAAATAAGTCACAAAGACAAAGGTTTGTTACACAGCTCATCTGCCTCAGATGTGTAAGAGTGAAAAGGAAACATGATCAATTTTAAGGTCAAGGTCAAATAAAGGTCGCAGCGACCTGGTTTTGGTACGCAACACACCTTCTCCCCAAGATGTGTAAGTATACAAAGTTTGGTCGCGCTAGGCCAATTAGGGGCCGAGTTATAGAACAAAAGGGAAATATGATCAAGGTCAACGTCAAGGTCAAGTTTTGGTATGCGACACACCTTCTCCCCAAGATGTGTAAGTATACCAAGTTTGGTCACGCTAGGTCAATGAAGGGTCGAGTTATAGAGCGGAAGGGAAAGTGTCTGCGGTAGCGGCAGCTGGACAGACATGAAACCATAGTATCCCCGCCGACTTCATCGCGGGGGATACAGTAACGCATTTTCATGGATTCTAGGTACCAATAAATTGCTACAGAACATTTAATTTCATACGTGATCTTGTAAATACGAAAACAAAATATGTCATAGTCAATTAGTGTTTTGACACGGGTGTGCGATTAACATTTTTTAAATAAAGGTCGTTAAAATTATCGCCCATCAACATTTGCATGTCCAAGTAGGATATAATTATTTTCATTCATATGGAAAAAAATGCAAACTTTCATCTTGCGTGGACTTTTATTGAGCAGTAAAGCATATACATGTATAAATTATACATATATATATATTATATAATAATACACAGATATATAATTTTGAACCCAATAATCTACAATTGCACAATTCACATGCTAGATGAATTCAGGTTGCACAATATCTGCATGTGAATTCGACCCAACACAATCTTGAGTAGGGGCACCCAATACCCTAGCCCGCCCAGGATCAAGGCCTCCCTCTGCATTTTTGAATGATTGAGCAAAGACTTGAGCCACCTAAGTTATCTTTTAGCCACCAAGGAAAATCTATTGCCACTGTTTTTTTTTAATCATATATGTGCTTAGTAAGGCATAAGCAGGTCATAGATATGGGAAAAGATTGTGGACGAAAATATTTCATGAAATGACGCGGTAATTGGATTATTTCATTATTTAATCATAATTTAGTGAGCAGCTAAATCATTTGCCAATTGTGTTCGACACTTAGTGTAATAAAACTGCCACAGGCATTTATTCATCACATTCTGTGAAGGTGGCGAATGCCAGCGGTAGCCCAGAGGCTCTATGACTGTAAAGAAACAATCTTCTCAATGATCAAATCAGCTTTAATCACATTATAGAAGCCTGCCCCTATTTTATGGAAAAACATGTGTAGCTTTAAATGAGTGTCAATGACACTGTAGCTCACCACAAAAAAGGACACAAATGAG